GGGGCCCAGACTTTTAACCTTAGACTCTACCAAGAAAGTGTCCGGGCTAAACGGGCTCGGCTCTTGGGTTCGAAAGCTCTGGGCCCCCTCGGGCTGCCTTAAGGCGTCCTTTAAAGGGATCTATGGGTGGTTTAGGGTTTAGGTGTTTAGGGNNTTAATGGGTTTAGGGGTTTAGGGCTTTAGGGTTTAGGGGTTTAGGGTTTACGGGTTCACGGAACCGAGTACCTGTTTCTGCAAAGGTTCTTGCAAGTTCTGTTGTCAGGGTGTCTGTAAGGGCTTCCCTCCTGACTCAATGCCTCAATTCAAAAGTATGTACTTTGGCCTTACCCTAAACTCTAAACCCTGCAGGACGAAGCATAGACTATGTGCAGACATGGACCCTTGCGGGATTAGAGATTCTGGGGCCGGAGTTGCTTGAGCTGCAGAGGGTCCCGAGCGCCGAGCAAGGACAGCTATGCGTCTGGGTTCAATTAGGGTTTAGGTTTTACCTTGAACTACTAAAACCTACAGATTTTTTGGCAGGGTGAACACATTCTGTATGAGGGTTTACAGTGAGAACCTACAAGAAGTACTTAAGGGGGGGGGGGTTCAGGGTGGAACAGGCCACTCGGAAATCTGGTCTTGGGTTCTGCGGATATCCGCAGGGGGTTTGGGGTTTAGGAGGGTTTATGCTACGGCTGATGATACAAATCCTGCATCACCCATAGTAAGGAATATACCTTAGTTCCTATAGGTCACGGCGAATCCCAGAAAGTTGGAACATGTGTTGAGGAGGATTCGTGCTAGGATTCCTTTCGCTCTCGCTTAAGGGCATGAGGATAGTGATGTTTCAACTGTCTGGCTTCTACTATAGGGTCATTAAGGTAATGCAGGCTTTATATCATCAACTGTATTGTGTCTTATGACTTCATGGGTCCACGGTCCATACTCCAACCTAGCTAGATGCTCAGGCCAGCAAACAGTTCCTGGGTTAGCTAGGCGTTTCAGAGGTTTGGTTTCGTTTTGCTAGCAGCGAACCTTCTGCTGGAGAGTGGCATAACAGCTGCGGAGCCTATAATAAGGCCTAACCGGGCGACCCGAACAAAGCTAATACCTCCGGTTTAGAGCTTGGTGTTTAGAGCTTGGGGTTTAGGAGCCCTAACGCTATCTCACCCTAGACCCTCCTTCTTATACCCGCAACTTGAAGCCCGTCATCCTCTTTGCACCCACTGTAGACCCTAAGCAGTGATTCTGCTAAACCCTGTTGTTGAAGACACTTCATCCTTAACATGGCGTCTTTGAACCCTTGAACCCCGACAAGAGATCAGCCCCAACCCTAATGTAGGGGCCTTACAATAATTGAAACAGGAATTTAAGGTCCTTTATAGTATTTTTAGAATAGGAAGCCCCCAAGAATAATATAAGCAAAAATTGAGGCCCCTATATTCAACCCTAAACCCAAACCTAGCTGAGCCCCACACTCCAAAACCTCCAACTCTGACGAAGAGCCTGAAACGTAATCAGTGCCTTTCTTTAGCTTCGCTTTATCCAACAAGACCATAATTCAGGGTCCAGGAGTAACCATGTAACCTCAAATCATTCAAGCAATAACACTATACCCTAAACCCTAAAACCCACACCACTAGAGGAAGAACCCCTCCTAAATTGAGGGGAAATGGTCTTCCAGGCCACAACCCCTAAACCCTACCCAACCCTCTTTCACCCCCTTTTGAACCCTAGCGGCCCCAGCACTAACCCCATAGAAACTGAGAATAATGCTTCGGACAGCCCTCACCCTCAGCCCTAAACCCTAAACCTCAAACCCTAAGCCGTAAACCACGAAACCCTAAACCCTAAAGCCTAAGCCCTAAACCACTACACCCTGATCCCTAATGTCGCCTGAAAGTCGGCCGCCCGCTTTGGGAGCGGAGCCGTTGACGGCAGCAGCCTGCGCTCGGACTGAAGGCTCTGCAAGGGAACGGGTTTCGAGTTTAGTGTTTCGGATTTAGGGTTTGGGGTTTGGGCCCTGAACCCTAAACGGCCCTAAACCCTAAACCCTTCTAATGCATTTGCATGGGAGCCTGTCGAAAAAAAACATGGGTTTATTGGATTATTGGATGTCAAGACCAGGGAGTTGGGGCTAGCGGGTAGACGTCTTCAGCTTCGTTTTTGGATTGTCCCTCGCACGGCGACTGTGATGCAGCGCAACTCGTCATGGGGGTCGTGGGAAGAGCCCTCAAACAGAACCCCAACCCTGAACTTGCTGCATCCTAAAGCCTAAACCCTAGCAGAAATGCCCGAAAAGGTCAACTTACTACTTGGGAGTAGACTATACTATAAAAAATAAAGAGCCCCCAAGACCCTATCCTAATCATAAAGGCCCCTACATTAGACTAAAGATCAACCTCAAGTCCTGGACCACTTCGAAAAAGCAACGACACAATCCCCAACCCCCCCCTGCACATCTCCGGTTTTTGGCTCAGGTTTCAAGGACTGGGGGTCCAGAGTGACCCTAAACCCTAAACCCTAAACCCTAAAACCCTAAACCCTAAAACCCTACACCCTGAACCGGCTTTGGGGGTTTTAGCGTTTGAGGGTGTTGGGCTTAGGCTTTGGGGATCAGGCTTCCGGGTTTCGGGGGGGAAGCTGGGAGTTAGGATTAGGGGGACCCTTGGGGCTCTATAGGGTTTAGGGTTTAGGGTTTAGGGTTCAGGGTTTAGGGTTATAGACCCTCTCAATAATGTCCCGTTTAAGAGAGCCATAAGTAGGGTTAAGAAGGGTCCCCGTTAAGGGG